CATGTATCTTAAATATTGTAAGTCTACAACAAGAATTCAAAGCAACAAGAGGCTTACAATCTGAGAGATGCAGAAACTGCGATGAGGTAGAGGGATGGGATTTATATCTCTCAGCTCATTTTCACTCTGGAGTATTCAGCAGAGACACATGAAATCCCCAACTCATGATCCCTTCCATTCTCCCACCTTCACCTTCTCCTTTACCCCTGCCTTCTCCCTTATTTAAATTCCAGCCAGTTAAATTCTAGTTTGATGCACTTCATCTAGAATATATGCATCAGAGTTGTTGCAAGAATTAAATGAAATAATACATCTGTGACAGCCATAAGCTATGCCACTTACAAGTCCCTTTGAGAGAGAGCCCGCTGCAAGGAGCCTAGTGATCTGATAGCCCTTGGCTACAATGTCTTCTGGATCCACACTGAGGCCCTGCTCTTTCCAGGCAGCTCCCAGGCAATCTGAACGCTGTGGAGAAGTTAGGGTTGGACCATTTTTCCCAGTGCTGGACTTCAGCAACAGACCTTGGGCTCCCTCTTAGCCTGGCCAAGACTTTTTGAGAATTGCAGTGCAGCATGAGGCTCTCATCCAATCGGCCCCTCTCTCTTTCCCTCCCTCCCTCCTTCCCTACCTTCCTTCCTGCCTGCCAGCCTGCCTGCCAAGCCTTTATCAGAACTGCACTGCAGCCTGAGGTTCTCATCCAACCAACCTACACGCCTTCCTTCCCCTCAAATATCTCAGTATGGTTTCAGGCCCCTCTCACCTTTTTTTTCTTTTTTCTTTTTTTTTGCTCTGTCGCCCAGGTTGGAGTGCAGTGGTGTGATCTCTGCTCACTACTACCTCCACCTCCCAGGTTCAAGCGATTCCTCTGCCTCAGCCTCCTGAGTAGCTGGGACTACTGGCATGCATTACTACACCCGGCTAATTTCTGCATTTTTAGTAGAGACGAGGTTTCACCATATTGGCCAGGCTGGTCAATATGGTGAACTCCTGACGTAGTGATCTGCCTGCCTTGGGCTCCCAAACTGCTGGGATTATAGGCGTGAGCCACTGCACCCAGCCCTTCCCACCTACTTGTTAGGCATTTCCTTTTCATTTCTAATTCTGTCTCATCACCTGCTTCCTCGAGTACCTGAACTGACACAGCATGCAAGGTACTAAGCATAGAATGAACATACTGGAAACACTAGTAGTTACTGTTATAATTACTATGATCTGATTAAACTAATGACTGCACTAACAGCAGAAACTCTCGGAGACGCCTACCATTAGGACAATCAGATCCAAGGGTCCTCAGCAGAATCTCAGGCCTTCCTGTGTCATATCCAGTTCTCTGCCCCTGGGACAATGTTTCAAGCAGAAAATCAGTTGTTTTTCCTAACGCTTCACTGTGCAGTGAGAATTTCAAAACCACTAAAATATTTGGGGGAAAAGCATTGAGAACTTCAGAATTGACTGGAATAGTGGACCTCTGCTACCTTTCATCTTAGGAAGAACAAAAACCATAGTCCTGAAGAGCCTTCTTAAAACAAGCCCCAGTGAGAGCCACATTCATTAAATAAAGCCCTTCCAGAGGAAGTTCTGTGTCAAGTCTTTATTGTCCACTTAGTCTGTGTATTACTGGATGCATCTGAGCCATTTATTAGTCCTGGAGAGAAAAATCATAGTCAAGGCAGCAAGGCAAAGACAGAGGAGTCTGTGAAAACATCCATCAACCTGCAGCCCTAAGCCATGTCCATTAGAGCACATAAAACACTTTTTAGTGACAAGTCGCACAAATGTTGTGGAGAACCCTGTTATGATGACAGCTATAAACTCAATTCTCCTGAGATCTAAGATGCTGGTTCCAATTCAGTGACCACAGACTTGGCAGAGGAGCCATCAACAATATGATAATGGCTGTGATAAAGGTGTTATTGATGCTCTGCTTATCACAGCGGAGACACAGCCAGCAATCAGCAGCAATTAGGTGCTTAATACAACTTCTTTGGAGACACTGCTACTGAAAAGATTGTCATAGGTGGCACAAAGAACTCAGCAATCAATCTCAATGAAGTCCATGGCTGTTTTTCTTTTAGAAAGCACTTCTCTCATCCAAATAATAACTATGTAAATTTGGCTCCATCTAAAGGAAGGGGAATCAACTTTGATCTGATTACGCACATGGAAGGCATTGGTATGATGACCACCTAAGCAGACCCTGCCATACCTGGCATACTCAGAGGTCAAGGGCAAGACCAGGAAAAGGGGAGAAGAGGCCAACGTGAGAGATGGCAGTAGGTCTCTCTCAATTCACAAAGTTAACCATGACTGAGGTCTCAATACTAAATTCTGTAGTGTAATTTGTATGTTGCTAATGAAAATAACCCGAAAGGGAAGAGATCACACTCATCACCTTTGGGGAAGGAGAAACTATATTGAATTACTGGAAGAAAACAAATGTATAAGAGACAGGTAATTTGCAATTATACAAATTACTCTATTGTGATTCCCAGTCCTGTTTCCCTTATGCCAAACACATTCTAGGTCAATATATATTCTATAGTAGCAAAAGCATTGACTTGAGATCCTGACAAAAACAAGCAATGGGGAAAGGATTCCCTGTTTGATAAATGGTGTTGGGAAAACTGGCTATCTATGTGCAGAAAGCAGAAACTGGACCCCTTCCTGACACCTGACACAAAAATTAACTCCAGATAGATTAAAGATCTAAAACACCATAAAAACCCTAGAAAATCTAGGCAAAACCATTCAAGACATAGGCATAGGCAAGGACTTCATGGCTAAAACACCAAAAGCAATGGCAACAAAAGCCAAAATAGACAAATGGGATGTAATTAAACTCCAGAGCTTCTGTACAGCAAAGGAAACAATTATTAGACTGAAATGGCAACCAACAAAATGGGAAAAAATGTTTGCAATCTACTCATCTGACAAGGGCTAATATCCAGAATCTACATAGAACTAAAACAGATTTACAAAAAAAAACAACCCCATCAAAAAGTGGCTGAAGGATATGAACAGACACTTTACAAAAGAAGACATACATGAAGCCAACAAACATGAAAAAATGCTCATCATCACTGGTCATCAGAGAAATTCAAATCAAAACTACATTGAGATACCACCTCATGCCAGTTAGAATGGCAATCATTAAAAAATCTGGAGACAACAGATGCTGGAGAGGATGTGGAGAAATAGGAACACTTTTACACTGTTGGTGGGAGTGCAAAATAGTGCCACCATTGCAGAAGACAGTGTGGTGATTCCTCAAGGACCTAGAAATACCATTTGACCCAACAATCCGATTACTGGGTATATACCCAAAGAATTATAAATTGTTCTATTACAAAGACACATGCAGACGTATGTTTGTTGTGGCACTGTTTACAATAGCAAAGACCTGGAACCAACCAAAATGTCCCTCAACAATAGACTGGATAATGAAAACGTGAAACATATACATTATGGAATACTACACAGCCATAAAAAATGATGAGTTCATGTCCTTCATAGGGACATGGATGAATCCAGAAACCATCATTCCCAGCAAACTGATACAAGAACACAAATACTACGTAGTATCAGTCATGGGTGGGTGTTGAACAATTATAACACATGGACACAGGGAGGGGAGCATCACACACACTGTGGTCGATTGTGGGGGACTAGGGAAGGGATAGTGCGGGGTGGAGAGGGTGGGGAAGGATAACATGGGGAGAAATACCAGATATAGATAATGGAGGGGAGGAAGGCAGCAAACCACCTTGCCATGTGTGTACCTATGCAACAATCCTGCATGATCTGCATAGTTCCCCAGAACCTAAAGTACAATTTAAAAAAATGGTTGAATGGATTTTTTGAGTAAATAATCTTCACTCCAAAAATCATCTCCTCTAGCTGGGTTTTCACCGACTTAGGTGCCCCTTGGCTGACTTTTATTTTAGTAGCTGAATGGTTCTCAGTTAATAAAAGCTTCTGTAACTTGTGGAAGTTTAGGATTGGAAGGTAAGAAGAAAATGAGGTATGTGTGTATACACTGCTCAAAGTTTTCTCCTTTCTGTTCATATGTCTCTTCCTTTTTTCTCTCTTGCAGACACCCAACACAGAGAGCACATACTAGGGGTGTTTCTTGGCCTATGGCCCATATAAGGCTTAATCTTGCTATAGTTAAAGAGGGCATATACTTAGAGAGACCTCACCACTTAAGCAAGAATGTATCCTCAGAGGCTAAAAGTAGCTAGAAAGATCATCCCCTAAGCCCAGGATCTTTGGCTCTGATCCCCAGAACTAAGTCAGTCTTTACAAATTTGTCTTTCCATTCAATTTGTGAATATGACCCCAAAACAGCATTACCAGAAGAAAGTATATGGAAAATCCAGGCCAGGCACGGTGGCTCATGCCTGTAATCCCAGCACTTTGGGAGGCCAAGGCAGGCAGATCACGAGGTCAGGAGATGGAGACCATCCTGGCCAACACAGTGAAACCCCATCTCTACTAAAACACAAAAAATTAGCCAGGCATGGTGGTGGGCAGCTACTTGGGAGGCTGAGGCAGGAGAATTGCATGAACCCGGGAGGTGGAGGTTGTAGTGAGCTGAGATAGCACCACTGCACTCCAGTCCGGCAACAGAACAAGACTGAGTCTCAAAAAAAAAAAAAGAATCTCTCTGCTAAAGAGATACCTGCATTTTTTAATTCAATAGATGTATACGAAACCCTCCTCAGTGTGCAGTGTAGTGTGTACCATTCCCCAAACCCCCGATAAGTACAGTGCTCTCCAGCTCTTCCCTCATCAACATGGTCCAGATCAGATTCTCCAAATTCCATAAGGCCCTGCCTGCCTCTGGACCTTGAAAAGACAGACTTATCACAAGGAGCTATTATAATAACCCTAGTCCCTGCGTCCCCAACTTCACCTTATAAGACTTCCTTTACTCTCTGGGAGACAGTCCAATCAGTACCTTGAACAGTTCCACAGTTTCTGGTAGGGAGATCATATACCTGTTGGTTTGTTCTGTAAGCAGGCTGGGATTCCTTCTTGATTTCTTTCTCTGGTCCTGATAACACTGTTCCTTCTTCCTCCTCATCACTCTCTTCACAATAGGAATCAAATGTATCAGCATAATACTCTTCAGCCACAAGTGGGTCTTCTGGGATCTCTGAAATAATGAACAAGCAACAGTCAGAAACTCCCAGTTATTAAAATTATAATGAGGGAAGAATACCCTGTCTTTTTACAGGGATGTATATTTTGCTCGCACTGACAAAGATTCTATGGCGTGCAGAGCTGAATCTTAGCTTCCTGAAAGTATCTGGTTGAATGTAATAAACAGCAAAATAAAACCAGTGGAGTAAAGGAGGAACATTTCCATTAGCAACTACCTTTTGAAGGTAAGAAAAAATCATGAAACAAGAATAAATAATATGCTTTAACATCTTAACATTTGGAGGCATGAATCTTTATTAAAAATGAGGAAATTTAGGAGCAAAGGTAGGACAAGATGTCCGGGCTGAAAGGTCCTATTATTACACAACACACATAAAATTTTCAGCATAGGTAGTTGGAGAAAAACTACCGCAGCATTTTTCCTAGATATATTTTTTTAATGTTACTGGTAGGACCAAACAAGATGAATAGGATATACAGCAGCAGCGTTTTGGCAAGCTGGGGAAAGCACAATTTTTTTCTAACAGGTAATGATGGCTTTTGAGATGGAGTTCACTCTGGTGGGTCCTACTTGCCCAACCTTACATTCAGCACTTATTTTAAAAAGGAATACCCACTTAAGCTGAAGACAATAAGCATCTACTCAAGTTACTTGATGCAACGTTATTAGTAACTAAAATAAAGTCAGTGTTTTTAACAATCTTCAATGAAGAAAGGCCAAGAATGGATCACAGCAAAGCATAACAATATAAACTCTAATTTACTAATGGTGGCCTAGAAGTAAAGAACTACCCTTGGGTCGGGGTAGGAGAAAATTATAATATTCAACTGCAGCAAAACAGTCGGCATTTTAGACTCTGCACCATGTTCAGACTTAAACATGAAACTTTTCTTCTAAATTGTAACACATTATTTTTCAACCTATTGTTGCTATTTCCTGTCTAGTGGGAAAAACATGAAATTTGGGGTCAGAGAATCAAGATTGGAATCTAGCTCTACCAACTTTTAGATGAAAATTTGTGCAAGAGACTTAAGCTCACAGAGCTCCAATTTCTGTGGTGAAATTAATATAAGGGTAATCTAGTAGGGTGGCTACTATGATTTGGTAATAGAATTCTCATGAAAGCATCAGTAGGCAGGGAAGTTTCATACAAATGTTCACTCAATTTCCATGTCTATAAAAATGGGCTTTTCATTAACTGAGTCCAGAATCCTTTGAAAATAAAATACTTAACGGATGTAGAATTCCCTGGAAACAAAAGACATTAAAATGTGGTTTTTATCTATTTTTTCCCAGTAAAACATAAAAGGCTGCTGTGCAGTAAGATAAAAATTAGCTCGAAAGACAAAAATTACATACATTCAAAATCACCTTTGTAAATTCTTTAGAAAGGGGTATAATGGGGACCTCAGACCTTATCTCAGCAATTTCAATACAGTGTATTTTCCCTTCAGACCAGTTTAGATCACTGATTTTCAGGTGAGCATCAGATGAGAGAGAATATTGGTATGGAGAAGCCACATTTTTTATTTTTTATTATTAATATTTAAATCATATATTTTTATTAAACATGGCTTCTAGTCAAATATCACTTGGTATTTGGTTTTCCATTCCTGAGTTACTTCACATCAAGAAGACACCTGCACATGTCTGAATATGTATACATATATATAAAACACATACCTATACATGCATGTACATGCATATATAACTTCAATAGCTTTTGGGTACAAGTGGTTTTTGGTTACGTGGGTGACTTCTGTAGCGATGAAGTCTGAGACTTTAGTGCACCCTCACCCAAGTAGCATACACTGTACCCAATATGTGGTTTTTATCCCTTACCCCACTCTCACCCTTCTCCTTTCTGAGTCTCCAAAGTCCATTATCCCACTCTGCATGCCTTTGTGTACCCATAGCTTAGCTCCCACTTATAAGTGAGAATATTTGGTATTTGGTTTTCCATTCCTGAGTTACTTCACTTGGAATAACGCCTCCAGCTCCATCCAAGTTGCTGCAAAAGACAGTACTTCATTCTTTTTTTAATGGCTGAGTAGTATTCCATGGTCTCTATGTGCCACATTGTCTTTATCCACTCATCAGTGATTGGCCCTTAGGTTGGTTTCATATCCTTGCAATCGTGAACTGTGCTGTGATAAACATACATGTGCAGGTGTCTTTTTGATATAATGACTAGAAACCATGTTTAATAAAAATCTTTGACTTACACTGAGAATGGCAAGGGGATCACAGCATGAGAAGTGTATGAAAACTAAAATCCCCTGAGAAATCTCCAGTTCTGCCATCAAGTAGGGGCATGTGCTTGCTGAGTGAAATGACTGACAGAACCATAGGACGTCTTCCTTCTCTTGCCCACCCTCAACTCTCCCTGAATCTGTCTCTTCCTCCAACTTGTCCATTCTCTCTCTCTCCACACTCTCTTCTACTTCCTCTCCCTCTCCCTGAGTCTCTTTGTCCCTTTGACAGTTGTCCATTCTCTCTCCCATTCAGATTTTTCCCTCTTGCTCTCCCATTTTTTAATTTATCTTCATTCCTCCTTGTCCAGTCCTTTGGCTTTCAAACTATGGCATGGTAAGAAATACCATTCACATTGTTACCCCGTGCACAGAAATGTGCTTACATATGCATACACATAAATATATAGTTGAAGCAACAGTTTCATACATCAAGACCTGCATATCCAACTACATGTGACACACACTCTGGTGTTTTTCATTCTATTCAATTATTATTTGTTTTTATGCTAGTTGCAACTCACTAGACTTCTCAATCTGCAATTTGAAAAACATCCCAACCTAGCTAGAGAGGCCAACATTCAAAAACACTCCTTTAGAATGCTGGCTTTGGCATAAAAAAAAAATCTGCATTTAAATCAAGGTTGTAGCAATAACTCTGTAACATTGTGTTATTTAAACTTTCTGTACTTCGGTTTTCTCATCTATAAAATAAAAATGATAATATTCATCTCGCGGAATTGTTGTGACCATTACATGGTATAACTAACGGATGCAAAGTATGTATCAAACAAACGTTAATTAGTTACTATTGGAAGTAATAAGGCAAACACTCAGGAGTTTTACCTGTAATACCCAACACTGGGAAGAAATAACAGTCATGCATCACTTAACAATGAGGATATGTTCTGAGAAATATATCATTCAGGTGACTTCATCATTGCGAACATCACAGAGTGCACTTATAAAAACCTAGATGGTATAGCCTATTGCTCCTAGGCTACAACCCTATACAGCAAGTTACTACACTGAATACTGTAGACAATTGTAATATAGTAAGTATTTATATATTTTAACATTAAAAATGTACAGTAAAAATACAGTGTAAAAGATTTTGTAAATGGCACACCTGTACAGGACCCTTACCATGAATGGAGCCTGCAGGGCTGGAGGTTGCTGTGGGTGAGTGAGTGAATGTGAAGGACCACGACATTACTGTACACCACCACAGATGTTATAAACACTGTGCACTTAGGCTACACTACATTTATTTAAAAAGTCTTCTTTTCTTCAACAATAAACAGCTTACTGTGAGTTTTTTAAACTTTTTGGCTATTACAACACTTAGCTTAAAACACAAACACATTGTACAGCTGTACAAAAATATTTTCTTTCTTTGTATCTCTCCTGACTAGGAGATATTCCATAAGCATTTTTTTCTTTTTCAACTCTTTTGTTAAAAATGAAAACACAAACACACCCCTTAGGCTACTCCTACACAGTGCCAGGATCACCGACATTTAATGTCTTCATTTAATGACATTTTAATGTCTTCCACCTCATCTTGTCCCACTAGAGGGTCTCTAGGGGCAGTAACACACACGGAGCCTCCATCTACTGTGATAACAGTGCCTTCTTCTGAAATACCTCCTGAAGGACCCACTGAGGCTGTATTTTTTTTTTTTTTTTTTTGAGACGGAGTTTCGCTCTTGTTACCCAGACTGGAGTGCAATGGCACGATCTCAGCTCACCGCAACCTCTGCCTTCTGGGTTCAAGCAATTCTCCTGCCTCAGCCTCCTGAGTAGCTGGAACTACAAGTGCTCACCACCATGCCCAGCTAATTTTTGTATTTTTAGTAGAGACGGGGTTCTACCTCATTAACCAGGATGGTCTCGATCTCTTGACCTTGTGATCCACCCGCCTCACCCTCCCAAAGTGCTGGGATTATAGGTGTGAGCCACCGTGCCTGGCCGAGGCTGTATTACAGTTAATTTTTTTTAATAAGTAGGAGTACACTTTAAAATAATAATAATAAAAAGCATAGCAGACCAGGTGTGGTGGCTGGAGTTTAAGACCAGCCTGGGCAAAATGCCAAAGCCCCCTCTTTACCAAAAATACAAAAAATTTGCTGGGTGTGGCTTCACACATGTGTGGTCCCAACTACTTAGGAGGCTGAAGTGAGAGGATCACTTGAGCCTCTAAGATGGTGGTTGCAGTGAGCCGAGATTGTGCCATTGCACTCCAGCCTGGGTGACAGAGTGAGTCCACACCTCAAAAAAACAAAAAACCAAAGTAAATACATAAAGTAGTAACAGTCATTTGTTATCATTATACTGTACATAATTATACGTATTACATCTTTATATGATCGGCAGTAGAGGGTTATTTGCGTCACCACAGACATGTGAGTGATACGCTACTCTGCAACGTTATAATGGCTATGATAGCGCTAGGTGTTAGGAATTTTTCACCTTCATTAATGGTATATGCAGTCTGTCATTGACCGAAAGATTGTCATGCAGTGTATGACTGCATTAGACAACTGCAAATAGATACCCGAGTTTAAAACATTTCTTTATTTCAAATAGAGTAACTTCTCAAAATCCATACTGAAACCAGCTGAAATGGGCAATATGGAATCTTGCCTCTCTCTGGTTTCCTTTCTGCTGAACCTATAGGAACCCTTAGGCATTTCACCACACTGTTCACCTCCCACTGTCCTTCCTGTCCACTGGTTC